TGTTTCTAGTGAATCAATATCTGATTGCAAATGGTCCACCGTTTCTTCTTATTCTTTTGACTTTCTTTTTAATTACTGTTGTGTTTCATCCAATTAATATAAAACAAACATTTTCTAATAAATAATATATTTTTAACTATTTTTCCATATAATAAATATTTTAATTTATAGTTAACCTTAAAGTCGTCAAGCATTTCTGGTATTGATGACCGAACTTTATCTTTTGATGCAGATTCTCTCATTAATTGAGTTTGTAGATCTTAATTTTGTTCACTCAGTTCTCATTAACCAGACCTTTAAATTTTACAAAAACCAAATTCCGATCAGCTAAACTTTCCAATGCTTGTCCTTTTCCTTTGGCACACTTTAAAATAAATATGACTTAGGTATAAATAAAAATAAAATGTTTGCTATTAATACTATTTAAAACCTCTCTAATATTAGCGTTTGCCATATTTAATTCTTTACGTAATTGCATTTCCAACTCTGTACTATCTTCTTGGAGTTGATCATTAATATCTTGTATTGCTTCTAGATCAGTCACTGCTTTCTCTAATTCTACCACTTTATCTTCCAAATTCAATTTTTGTTAACCCAGAAGCTCAACTAATTCCTCTACTCCTAAAGCTGCATCAACCTAAAATATAATAATATATTAATACTTGGAAACTATCTATTTTAAAATTAATATAAAACCTATTCATGCAAATCATTAACTTGAGATGCTAGTTCTTCATTAGACTTTTTTAAATCATTACATTGTTTGGTCATTTCTTCGATTTCTCTTTGTAAGTTTTGTGTTTGGTGTTTCTCGTGGGCGGATAAGTCTCGTAATCTAAAGTTTCAATAAGTGTCAACTAAATAGGAATCAATCAATTAACAATAATAATATAAAAGCATCTTATACTTGAATAGTGTATCTCTAAGACGTACATTTTGTTGTTCAAGTTGCTTGACTTTGAAAGAATTGGCACCATCTCCTCCCTCTTCACTTACATTTTCTTTCTCAAACTCAGCCTTTAAGAGTTCTAATCTCCATTTTAACTTTTTCTAATTCTTTTTTTAATGCTGATTGAGATTCCATAATTTTAATTTTAAATTCTGCTGCTTGATCCAGCTGCAATTTCATCATATAAATATCATCTCAGGCAGTACATAATCATTAATTGATCTATCACGTCCAATTGTATACAAATGATAACAAATACCAGGTCTTACACAACCTGCTCTACTACGACATTGTCTACAATTAGCTAAGCTAACCCATTCTTCATTAAGAGGTCCAATGTTATTTTCTGCATCGAATCCTTTTAATTTCTTCCGGCCATTATTAATAACATAAACTACATTGTCTATGGTAACTGAAGTCTCTGCTATGTTTGTGGATAATATGGTCTTACGAAAACCTATTATAATGCTAACATTAGACAAAAATGCGTTTAAAGAAATTTAATGCTTGCCCCGAGGTGGCGATTCAAAAACAGATTTTTGAGATCCAGTGGGTGACATGGAATGCAAAAGAATCAGTATGTACCGAGCTACAAAATAAAAAAATTATATTTATTCCTGATGTATTTGAAAGCACATGGGAATTTTAAATTTTTACCTGTCATCCAACTAGATTCATTTTCCTTTCAGAAAATATATTGAAGTCTAAACTAGTTATGTGTTTCTTTACAATGTAAATATGTTGAGGCCCTTTGTGTTATTGAAATTGGATTGTTTCTCAGGAAAATTGTATTGCCTAAAAAATTCAAACTTTGTTAAAAATATGTAAGTGCACCATTTGTTTCTCTCTTTGAATAACGAGCAACATGCAAATGTAAGTACAGTAGATCAAGTTTTGTACTGTTAGCTTTAATATTAGAGTTATATGACATAATATTATAATCAAATTTAAAAGCAAATATGTTTTTCAAGGTATCTTATAGAGAAGCACTAAGCATTTATTCGTATTTCATTTTTAAAACAAGTTATGGATATTTTAATATTGTAAGATATAATTATTTATTTATTAATTTATTTTGACTTAACGGGCTGAGCCCTTTCGAGATACAAATTTATGTCCACGCACACAATTAGATATTATACAATGTGTCCCGTGAACAGGTGGGTACGTTAGTTAGTAAATGGTACAGTAAAATAGCTTTAAAATAAAAACCTATTAAAAATATTCTCACCTTTAAGTTTCATGACTCGCTCCAATATGGTATGTATATAATTATCTTCAAGAAAGTCAACGTCTGAAAATTGTCAACACATTGGCTCAACTTAATAGTTTCTTGTGTCAATTAGACATTATTAAGTTTCTAAGGCTTTTCTGAGTGAATTAAAATCATCGACTGTAACGTCTCCAAATCCTTTATTTGTCTGTTTGTTTTCTTCAAACTCATCGTTGGAGACATATAATTTTCTGAAAATATAAGGTTGTAAAAAATATCTGAATACCTACCTAATTAATATTAAAAGATTTTACCTCCTAGGCTAGATGATTTACTAGTCGTGCTCAGAGTGGTACCAGTGTTGCTGTAAATTATTAAAATTTATTTTATATTGTTTATTTTACTCCTCTAAACAGACATGCAGTTTGGATTATGTTTTGTGACAGCCTCTGGCCATAATAATATCTACTATATACTGAGCCTTGATTATAATTACTGGTTGTGAAATGAGTACCGCAGATTCTGCTCCAGATATAAATTGGGTAATAATTTAATTTGAAATTTTATTTCCTTCTATTTTCATTTTTTGTAAATCTATATTTGTGAACAAATTAGACTGGTACCATATTATTAAGAAATATAATCAGTACAACTAGAAAATAATACTTACAAATGAAAATTAAGATAATGTGGCGAGGCGATACTTTGGATGTTTTACCAGTGTCGGTCTGTCTTATGATTGGGCCCCCGGCACAGTAATTTTCAATGGGCCCTTTACAAAAAAAAAAAAGGGTTTTGAAATTTATAATTTTTATAACATATTAAAGTAGTTGCATTTTCCGCGTACATAAGTATATTTAATATCAAATTAATACTTTTTATGATTAAATAATCAAATAAAATATATAACTGTTCAGTACGTAGTACGATGGCTAACCTGGCTAGGTAATTGGATCCAGTCGGTAACTTTAGATACAAATACTAATAAAAAAAAAAAAAAACGATTTTGTTTTTTAGTTGTGGTTCACAAAGGAATAACAACGTTAACTTAAAATGTTCTTCAAATATAATATTATTTTAGACAATAATCTCTTCAATTCTTGACTAGAAGATGCTAATTGATCAATTATTTCATCTTTTTGAATAAATATTCTTCTACAAATAAGAAAATTAGTGGTTCAAGATGTTCTTGACTGATAGACGATCTTAGTATTGTTTTTAAAATTTTCAATTTTGAAAACGCACGTTCAAATGAAACTTGTGTACAAGAAAGGGCATAATTCTGGTTTAGCAACTTATCGTTTTTCAAATTTTTTTTTTTTTTTAATGTGTATTTTAGGGTACTTTATAAGAATGTAAAAAAAAAGGCCGGACAAACTTCGTTTTGAAATTATAGCCATCCAAAGTTTGCGATTTATACGCATGTGGGCAACACTACTTTAATGATGCGCGGAGGAACTCGTGTTTTTTTCCCGAGCGCAGCATAGCTAGCGAGTGGCAACGCTAGCCGATTATGTTCCTTATAACAACTCTGTTTAATTCCGAGGCCTACGCAAAACCAAAACAAATCGGGGGATGTTTTCGATTTTTTTGTCAAAGCGTTATTCAATTCTAAGGTATTAAACAAATCAGATTTTGATGTTATTTCATAAAGTATTTAATAGTGATTTATGTACAGCGATTAGCGAGCATAAGTTTGAGTGTCTGTGTGCGAGGTGCGTGTCTGTATGTCTGTGTGTAATACTGTGTATCACTCGTATTAGTATTATTATTGGAAAATTATCGTAAATCTATTTTTGTCTCGTCAGTGCCGACTGCCTATAGTATACTACCTATAATTATATAGGTAATAGCCAATAGGTATATGACATAAATCTGTAGATCACGGACTAAGATATTGTAATCGCCGGCCTCAATAATAGTATACTAATATTTATACTATATATTGTATACTAATATTTATAACCAATGGTTCAATGTTTACAAATTGATTTGATTGGAACCCGAGTCTGGAATCTCGAGTAAACATAATATTTTTTTTCATTTAGCTATGGGCCCCTAATACATGAAAATATCCAGGGGCCCCCGGCGATCGCCGGGTATCCGGGTGGGCCAGACCGACACTGTGTTTTACTAAAAAGAATAAACTTATGCAAGGCAACTTTTTACTAAAACGTATGAATACAATACTGTACGAATGTATAGTAGTCTGTATTTACTATTTCCGTACAAATATCAAATACCTAATCGAATGATTCAAATGATTCAATTAAAATATTGTGTTGTTATTCATTTGATAACAATTATTACTATCTTAGTGATAAGTACGGTATTTATACCATGAAGACTAGAGATAAGGAGACAAAACTCCGTATACAAAATATGGCCCGACAAAAGTCGCACGGTTATTCTGCCACCAGGAGCGCGTCGTTCGATAGCAGTGTTACACTGCTACGTTTTACCACTTATTATACGTAGGTACTTTTCTATAAATGTACGTTCTTTTTCATTTTTTTGAATTCGAATGAAATATAAATTATGATTTATTATTTATTACCTGGTCAGGTTAAAGTATACCTAAATATATAATCAAAGTTCAAAAGGTGTTTGCTATAAAAAAAGTTTTTTTTACCTGGTAATGTTATTTGCTGATGTCATAATCCCTTTACATGTTATTAAAGAATGTATATATTTCAATAACTTATGTATATCATTCATACTCAATAAAATTGTATTAATAATGTTGCAATCAAAAAAAAATTTCAGTACCATTGAAAAAAATCTGTCAACATTTAATGAATAAAGAATTGGAATAATATGAATTAATATAGAATACGGTTATAGGTTTGAACAGTTTTTTATTTTACTTTTGACCAAATAATTGCTTACTTTTACTATTAAATCATTTGAAATTATTATTTTTTTTTCAGATCCACTATTCCATATTGCAAGCACTACTTCATCATCTGTTAATCCAAACATCCATTTATTATCTGGTTTTTCTAATAGATTCAGATTTTCTTTTAAATACTGAAATGAAAATTCTTCGTGGGAATTTTCAACTGTATTTAAATATGCCTGACTTGGTTTAAATCTCTTTTTATCACTATTTATAGACCTTTCGAGAAGAGGTTTTCTCATAATTACTCTAAATGCTCTGTTAAATAAAATGGTAAGTTCGGAAATATTGATGGAACTGCCCCAGCTTTTAATGTGGGTCTAATTCTTTTAATTTTATTGACTGTTCCATCATTTAAGATAGTCTCATCATAAATTTGAATATCATTCTCTTTGAAATGCACTTCAACACATAACACTTTTCTGTGAGCATTTTGTCTTTCCTAGGTATAGCTCTATGCCATCTTGCTAAAAGCTCTGTGTTCTAAATATTATTTGTAACAAATAATTAAATAAAAAATGATTATTCATAAATAAGGTTAAGATAGTATGTTTTCTTACTTTGGGTGCTTTAAACAAACTTTTATTTTTTAATCCAATTTTTTTTTTGATGTTTGACATCTAAAGCATAACCAGTATTACACCCTGGCACGAAACAACAATTAACCATTTTTAATGTGTAAGAAATAAAACACAAAATACAAATTACTATTGTTTTATGTATAATTATTGTATTCAAATAAAAATAATCAAAGCAAAATAATAATAAAAAGTATTTAAAACCTTATCATTGTATGCATTGTCTATTTATAAATTTAATATTTTGATGAATAATAAATATCATGTATGAATCATCCATGCCATCCATGCTTATGTGCAAGCCCAGATTAATGGGGGGGGTCCAAGGGGGGCATGGCCCCCGGGCTTCGATGGTTAGAATTTATTAAGGGGCCTCAGATTTGCCCATTATCTCTAATCTTCATGCTTAATACATTTGAATATTATTTTGTTTGAATGTTTTTATTGATGTGATAATGTGAAATTGCTTTCTCTATAAATTGCTTTCTATCGTTGATATTTAACATTAACTGTGGTAGTGGTTTGATTGGAAGTTAAAGTAATAAGCAGGGCTGTGAATTGAATGCACTAAAAAAATTTTAAATATGCACTAAAATTATTCGATAAAATGCTCTATAAAAAAAGCCATTATTAAAAAATTATTGAAATTAATAAAATAAATACAAATTATAAATTATAATGCCTTAACCCAAAATATAGACATTGGATTTTGTATTTGTACAAAAAAAATAAATGTTTAATTTACATACTAGCTAGGTGACCAAAAAACATGTAATAACTTACCCAAAACATTAAGTTACCTATATGCTAAATAAGATTTCGTCTTTAAACTATAAATAAATCAAAACATATTTTGGCCGTATCCATTATCTTATAGTTTTTATACTGTGTATCAGACAAATATGCAAATGCATTTAATTCACAGTTTTAAAATTTTTTCTAATTTGACTTTGATAATACTATAGTTAGTGTAAAATAAAAATCTATATTGAAATTAATGAACAATAGTCGTATATTCTAATAAATGTTCAAATGCATAGAATATTATAACAAATGTTTAAATTTACACAGCAAACCACATATTTATTGGCTGCACAATATTCTGTACTTCACACAGTCTCTCCTTAAAATCATCCCGTCTACAAAATATAAATCATTTGTAAATGTATAAAGACTTAATTGAGTAGCTAATTGATAATGGTTCTGAAAGAGACGTGCGCTGTCGCCTGCTCACTAGGTCGAGAGACTTTGGTACAAGATTTTTTCCAACGTCAATACTTAGTATCGATCAAAAATATTATATGAGAAATACAAAACTAATGTTTCAAGTAACGGATGATCATATTCTTTGGACATTATAACTGCGGAAAGGTTTTAAGTGTACGTATCGGCCGCTGTTACTAGATCCCGGATGGGTGACCACCCGGCATTTTTAGCAACAAATAGTTGCCACACATACTATATTACTATCGTGTTTTAACCAACCGTTACTACTCACTATAAACAACCTACAAGCAAAAAAAAACCAGTTAATGGTCAAAGTTGCTGGGCTCAAGCTCTAAATAAAAAAAAAATCATTCATTCAAAAAAACTTATTACGAGATGTACAATACTAATAAGTTTTATTAGATAGACGTGCCCGGTTGTCTGATTAGGTTAGATCAAAAATAATATTTATAACTTATAAGTATCATTTTTGTTGTTAAAAGTATATAATTGTGTTAGTCACAATTTTGTGCAAATGATATCGGCTCCTATTTTCTATATCTAATTATACAAAATACAGAAAATCTTTGAAAACAGAAATATTATTACAAAAGAGAAACTGTCGTGACTTGTGTTACATTTCAGTCTTAAATTTACTTTTTATATAGAGAACTTAAAGGTGGCTGGAATATTCATATCAGAGTATTTCAGGATACATAATTAAAAAAAAAAAATTATAATACTATATATGATAGTGTTAAAAAAAATAAAAAAATATTATAAAATAATAATACTAGATAATAATAATAATAGATTTAAATAATATTATACAAAGATAATTTGATATGTATCCATAAAAATGTCACAGACTCGTGGCATATATGTGCTTCAAATTGTTTACACGAGCAACTGAGCAAGTGAGCTAGGCTCCATCCATAATATTTGGTATAAGCTTAAGGTATCAAAAATCAAAGGAAAAACTTGATAATCAAACACTTAAGTTCGGCAACCGACTCAAGATCTTTTTATTCAAAGTGTCCTATAATAAGTCATAAGTGGGTTAATTAGGTAAACCTATTATGGTTAGTGGATCCAATGGTGATGATAGACGACTATCATCACTGGTCGTGAGCTTTGCAATGATCTTTTCCTACTAACTATCAAGGTATTCGATATTGTTAACATAACAATGAAAGAAAATATTTAAATGATGGTTATTTTAAGTTAGGTTAGTATAGGAGAGGAAATTAGACGTTAACTAATTATCATAGTTTTTAACACGGTCTTAAAGACTGCCAGGCGCCAGCTAGTGTTGTACCAGTATAATTAAAAACTTAAATACAGCCTACCATAATTAATGATTTTTTTACTACATTTGTATAGATATATTACAGTGATACACCTCTGAACATAATAACTTTTCGTTTATTATAATGTAAGCAATACCTAGTTTTTGGGTTGTAGTTAAAATGTAGCTTCCAGCGTATTCTTTTGGTTAGTGTTAATGCACCCAGGTTTCTCATAAAAAAATTTTTTCGATTAGTAGATTTTTTGTACAAAAGTTTTTAAACATTACAGGCTATACCAGGGAATACACTGAGTACCTGTATACTTACTATATAGAAGAAGATGGTTAGGTTCTCTCACTAGCACCATTAAATATATTTGTTTTTTATTTATTTCTATATAATCATTCTTTAATGAGATAATCATTGTCAATTGAAATTTCTGTTTAAGATTCTGAACATTTTATTTTGAACTCTTTAATGTGTTTGCCTACTGTATAGTTTTTTCTAAATTAGGATCTGGAGCGTGATTAATTTTCGGTTGATAACATATCTCATGACTTCAATCATTACGCATTTACGCCCAATATAATGCCCTTATATTCATTTTGAAAGTAGAACTGAATTCATCACTAAATTATCTATGCTTTGACAATTTAATTTTTCAGATTTTAGATTCTGAGTGAAACGATGAATGTATTGATTTTACAATGATGTGTGTTTTTTTATTTTTTTTGTGTCTGTGTACACGATAAGTAGTCGAAATAATTCTTCGATTTTCAACTTCAGTATCTTTTTCGATTGGAAAGTGAATATCGTTGGTGCATTGGGGAGGTCAAAATTTAAAATACCCAGTACTTTTCAAAAGCGCCAAGAAAAACATAAGAAAAATTAAGGAAAAACGGGAATTTTTACGCAAAATCGATTTTTCAGAAAATTGAATTTGGTTTTTGGTGTAACTTTAAAACAAATGACCGTAGATACATGAATCTAAAAAATGGTTTTTTGCAAAATGGTTTTTTGCATTTTCACTGGTTGTTTATATTTGCATTTTCTATACACGATAAAATTTTCAAAATATTTTGATTTATTTTGAACTGTTTAGGGACATTTTCATTTTTCATTTTTTTTTAGTTTTTTTTCTAGAAATATCAATTAAATATTATTTGTTGGTTAAAAAAACTTGAAAATTTAATAAAAGGCTCCTAGTATATTGTTTCAAAGGCAGATGAAAAATATTAAAAATCAGTCAATTAGTCACAGTTTTTTTTTATAAGCATTTAAAGTTCAAAAATTGACAAAATATGGAAAAATCACGAAAATTAGCAAATTATTTTGAGTTAAGAATTCGTAAAAATTTTTCTTTTTAAATCTAAGATTTGAAAATGTAATACAAGATTACTCATAAGTTTGTCTACTTTTATCAATAAAAAAATCTCTACCGGACACTCAAATTAAATTTTTATGAGCGTTTGAAATTCAAATTTTGGATGTTCACTCGATTTCTCATGTAGCGATTTCCTTATTTTGTTGTAATTCAAAAACGAATTACTGTAGATACATGAAAATTTCACTGAATGTTTATATTAGCATTTCCTTAACTTATCATTTTGAATAGTTTTTTCTGTTATGTTTCTGGACATTTTAGTTTGAAGTCTTTAATGTGTGGTCCTATTGTTTAATTTCTAATTTTTTTTTTTCTAAAACGCATTTGCCTGCGGGCGCCAACTCTCAGCTTCAATTTTTTTTTTTTAAATTTAAGTATAGTGGAAATATTTTTATAGACATGAACATTGATAACCTGCAGGGGCCCTATGAATAATCTTTCTTGAATGAACTAATCATTTTGAATAGTTTTTTCCTGTTTAAGATTCTGGACATTTTATAGTTTGACTCTTTAATGTGTGGTCCTATTGTTTAATTTCTAATTTTTTTTTTGTTTTCTAAAAGAATGACTGACACAATGACATGGACACTTTTACGTTTGGCACTTGCCCGTTATTAAGAATTTATATTTGTTAAAAATCTATATTCAATAAAAAATGTGTTATTAGTTATAACTATTACAATATTTTAATAAACAATACATTAATTCTAATGCATCGACTTTGACCTCTTTAACATAAATAATATTAATTAATAGGACCCTAATTATATTGTACAATTAATCTA